CAACCAAATAATAATAATAAAAAAAAAATGCAAGAAGAAAAATAATTTTTCTCCGATTACCTTGAGAGGAGAATGCACAAGGTCTGATAATCTTGGCTTTTCATTTCTTTTTCAATTTTTTTTCTCCAATTTTTTTTTCCATTTTATTATCCCCATGTGAATTGTATTATATTATTAAGTATGGTCTTTACGTAACATCACCTTTTTTTTATGATCTATTATTTATCCATGAAAGCAATTGGAGCAAGTTTTAGGATGTAGGCTTCCGACATAACGGCAAGAAACCTGCTTTTCCCTTTCATTATCCATTCACAAAGCCAATATTCCTATTCGATGTGAAGGCTATTTATATATTAAACGTTATAAATCCTTGGGAATTGTAGTAAGGTGTATTTTATATATATGACTTTTTTTGTTATACATATATATACATTATAATCATGTGTTGAGTCAATGAAAGGCAACAATTGTTTTTCTAATATAAGGAAAGTAATGTACTCCTTTGCCCCATTATGTAATGTCTTATATATGTCTTTTTATTTATGTCTTCTCTATTTTTTTTAATTATTATAATTTTATTAGCTGTTATGCAATTTTTATTTATTTTCTCCAACTGTTATTTTATTCATTATAATTCCAACTGTTTCACTTCATATTTTTATTATTTATCTATTTTATTATTTAAATATATTATTTTTAATATTTGTTACATATTTTTTTATTATTTATTATTTTTTTAAAATTATTTTTAATAATTACTTTTTTATTAAATTATTATTCATTACAACTATTATTAAATTTCTTTATTGTTGTATTTTATTTATTATTACTCCTCATTATTATTTTTAATTATTACTATTATTATTATTTTCTGTTTTTGAATTTCGCGCCAAAAAAGTTCATTAAATTGCCGCCTAGATGGCATGAAAATTCACTCACAAACGAAACGAAGCAAATATAAAATTGTTTCTTTTTGGTTTACAAATAATTGATTTACATACAGTGTTGAGAAAATTTTGAAACATGTAAATAAATTTAATAATAATAAATTAATAATACTAATATTTAGTTTAAATAAAACGAATTCATTGAAAAAAACAAATTAAAAAATTAAATTTATGAAAAAAGATAAGAAAATAAATACACAGAAAAAAATAAACTAATAAATTAAATTCATAGAAAAAAGAAAATTAATAAATTAATAAAAAAAATTGCATGAATAAAATTTAAACGTAAAAAAATATTTACAAATAATTTATTTACACACAGTATTAAGGGCATTTTGCAAAAATGTTTCTCTGATCCTTTTTTTGGCAAACCTTTAGCAATAATGTTATGTATAAAATAAATATAAATTTTTGAGACTAGTTTTCTGGTTTCGTGTGCCAAGTCTGGTTTTGTGTTAAGTAGACAATTAAAATAATAATAACATTAGACGTTCATTTCTCTTCCTTCTGGCAAATTTTCAACTCATGCGATATTCAATCGTATGCTATACTATAGGTGTTAATAAATATATTAAATGGCACCGCACCTAATCGAAACAGACTTATAATGAGGCTACATTGTCTATAAACCTGGCCTATAAACAAAATTACATAACGCTTTTAACAAAATAAAAAATAAATAAATAAAATTTATTTTTTATCTTTTTTATTTTTTTTTCGAATTTATTTGAAACGATACAATAAGAACAAAAGAGTAGTATTTTCTCCTTTCTCCTATCTATATTTCAAAATAAAAAAAAAATTCGTTACTGCGTATTTATTTATTTATTTATTATCTATTTCTTTAATTAGTATTTAATTTAAATATTTATTATTTATTTATTACGTACTCTTCATTTTATTTTATTTATTAAGAAAAATAAACGCGAAAAGTTCTATTGCCCTTTTCATATTTAAATGGAGATGTTACTCTCCACCTGCGAACGCCAAGGTCACCGCTAGATGGCACTTCAGTCTTTTCTTGGAATTTCTCTTGCCACCTGGTGGTGACCTTGGCGTTCTCAAGTGGAGAAATTTAACCACCATTTTATCCCTCAAAACCTTTTTTTATAATAATAGAATTTAAAAAATATCGTGAGAATAAAAACTGCTAATTTACTGTGCGACTATTTGCAACTATTACGAACATTTTATGACACTTTCAATCTTATTTTACCTAAATTGTGAAATGAAAATTAAATCAAAAAACACTTTATTCACGTATCTTTTTACTCAATTAAATTTTACAAGCCATTCATTGAAGAAAATAAATTTCGCAATTTCTCGTAAAATTAAAAAAAAAAAATATTTTTTCTTTATTTGCAAAGATAAGGGAAAAACTTTTTGAAAAATCATTCTCTCGCATTTATAAAATTACGCAAAAATTCTGTATATAAACTTTGAAGAGAAAACACAATTTCATTTAATTAATGTTTAAAATGAGAAGTAAGCGCAGAAACCCGAGATGGAACCACGAAGTAAAAGAAGAAGAAGAAGAAAAAAAAAATTGCAAAGCTACTTTGCTTACTCACGATTACTCACGTGCGAAATACGCGGCATATAGAGTGTCAGTTATTTACTTCTATGGATTTTCTTGATTTTACTCTATGTATGTATGTTCTAATACCACCTTCAAACGATCATGTTATTAGCACACCTCGCTCGACAGCTTTCTTTCAATCGACAACCTATGTCAGTAATAAAACCATTACAAGACAAACCGGGTGCTCGTCGAGGATATTGATTTGTTGAATTCTTTATACTTCCTACTTTAAATGGTATTTCAGTAATTTAGAAAATGATTGCTATTCATTAATGACATTTTCCAACTACTTCACACTTTGCACGCTCGATCTGAACGCGTGACTCAATTTTTTCTTCTCGGCAAAAAAAAAAAAAATTAATTGCTAATTATAAAAGGAAAAAAAAAGAAAAAATGACTTTGACTTCTTAATTTTCTCTGTAAGAAAAAGATTTTCCGGAGCAAGAAATTTTAGTTATTTAACAAATATACGAGGGAGGGAGTTTCGAAAAAATTTTTAAACTTTTAGGCAAGCAATAAAGTGCCCATTATTGCCCTAGGGCAATAATGGTCACTTTATTGTCCGCTCGCAGGTGATTAAGGACCCATTATTACCCTAGGGTATTAATGGACAAATTATTGACCGTTCGCAGGTGAATAAGGACCCATTATTACCCTAGGGGAATAATTGTCACTTTATTGCCCGCTCGCAGGTCTATAAAGACCCAATATTACCCTAGGGCAATAATGGTCAATTTATTGCCCGCTCGCAGGTCAATAAAGTACCCATTATTACCCTAGGGCAATAAAAACCAGAAAAAAATTTTTTTAAACCCCAAAAAATACGGTAAAACAAAAAGAACCAAAAAAAAGGATAGAAAAAACAAAAAAAAATTGTTTATACACCAGAAAATAAAAAATTAAAAAAAAGTAAAGAAACAAAAAAGCAAAAAATAAAATTGAAAAATAAACATTCCTTAAAAATTTGAGAGAAGAAAAAAATTCTCTCTACTTCCAGTGTTAATTTTCTTTTTCCGTTTGACAATAAAAACACAAACGCGTAAAGGTTAATGATTATATTGACCCCCTCCACTGACATAAGAGACTGCAATGTATATAAGGACGGTATTTAACCCATCTGATATAACTGAGAATTATATATACGTTCACTTCCTAGAATTTTCTCACGTATAAAGGATGCATATTCCTTTTTATTTATTTTTTTTTGTTTTATTTAAATATTTATTGCCGCTGGAAAATGGGAACAAAAAAAAATCGACGTTTAGGAAGTAATTCATTAAATGCACAAGAAGGTTATACCTTTTATCGCCGCGCTCTACACTGTCATTTTCTGATTTTGCAATAGGGTTTTTATTTACTACTTTAAATATTTTTCTTTTTAATCGAACGATAATTAAATTAATATTTCGAAAATTGTGGTATAAATATTTTGTAAAAAAAAAAAAAATGGAAATTTACCAAGTTCCTATATTCTTTTTCTTGTCCTCGTTTTAACTTTTCAGTAGTAAACAAAGATATTAGTCAGACAAGTAATTTCTCGCTTTTATTAATTTCCAAACGAATTAATTTTAAATGGCAATAATTATTTATCGATAATAAATTTTTAAAAATGCAATAAATGTGAAAACAAGTTTATTCTTTTTTTAAACAAAATTTAATTACTTAATATTTTTCACATTAATAGTTTTATTATTTCTTAAAATTTTACTTTGTTTTTTATTTTACTTTTATTAATTATTATTAATATTTGTATAATTACTCCGTACTTTATTTTTTAATTCACATTTTTATTAGTCTTTCTAATTTTTTACTTCGAATTTTTGTATATTTTTATTACTAATTGTTATTAATATTTTTATTACTAATTGTTATTAATATTTTTATTAATAATGTTATTAATATTTTTATTAATAATGTTATTAATATTTTTATTAATATTGTTATTAATACTTTTATTACTATTTGTAATTTTCCATTTTTTCCTTTTTTATTTTTGCCATTTTTTATTTACCAGTTTTCAAACTTATCAACAATTTAAGTATTTTCTCTCATGTAATAAAAAATTTTTTTTTCAAACCCATTTCAGATAATGTAATTAATGTTGTATATTCTACATAAATTCTTGAAATTACAGTTACATGATGAAAACTAAAAGAAAAAATCTAGAAGTAATTATAAAGCAATAAGAGAGACAAATTTCAAATTGCTAGTTTGTACTTCAGTTGAATAAAAGTAACATGATTTACACACTTTCTTGAATGTTCTATTGAATTTGCATTCATTCAAGAAATGCCTATAATTTGCAATTTTTCTTTTCCTAATTTTTCGAAGTTTGTTTTTTATTATTTTTGGCATTTATTTTATTTTGCTCTATTTTTTTGGCCTTTATTTTTTTTCCTCTTATTTTTTCCATTATGTATTAAATTTAAGAGTGGAGAAAAAATAATTTTTTTTTTGGGAAAAAAACTTACCCCAACATTCGTCCAGCTTCCTGACTCTTGTAGAAATCACATCTGTGAAGTGGTTTTCTGGGATCGTTGTTAAACGCTTGACCTGCAGCTTGACAGAGCGATTGATAAATCTGGAACTGCAAAACTCCAGCCACAAAATTTCTGCAACAAAAAAAGATTTTTCAAATTAATTAAACAAATTTTTTTTAACATTACTGAAATGATTATAAAAATATCAAAATTTTCGTTATTTAAAACAATAAAAAATATTAGCGAAATAATTAAAATTATCAAGTTTTTATTATATCTAAAATTGTCCATTTTTATTATTTACAATTAACAATAAAAAATATTGACAAAATAATTAAAATTATCAAGTTTTTATTCTTTAAAACTAGCAATGAGGAATGCAAAATAACTAAAATTATTAATTTATTATTTGAAATTATTAATTTTTTGATTGTTCAAAATTGACATTTTTTTATTGTTTAAAATTATTAATTTTTTATTACTAATTTTTTTTTATTTTATATTTTTTAATTAACCAATTTTAATATTACCTAAAACAACTTCAATTTACAAATTCAATTAATTATTAAATAATAAAATTAATTCCCGTTCAATAAATTAAACACAACTTAATTTGAAAACTGTTTGGAAAGACTTCCTTTTGAATTACGAGAGTACATATATAATAAAATTATTAATAATAAAACATCGGCTCACATATAAGAAAATTTGAAGTAAATATTCTTGTTTTCAAAATTCAGGTAATTTATATTTATTAAAAAGTTGATGTATCGTAAATTTAATATAAAATTCCAACATTTTCTATAAAGTCTGAGATCGCTAAACATGTTAAACATTCACTTCCTTGCTGGCTACTCTATATTATATCATATTCTATCATTAACTTTATATCAAAGTTATCACCGCTTCAATCTAATTTTAAAAAGCATTTTCACGTAATTCCAAATCAATGTAACAAAAAATAAAAGAAAAAAGAAAAGCTCCTGAGATGTGAAAAAAATAGAAAATGCGCGCGCGGAACTATATTATCTCTCGTTACATAATTAAAAAATATCTCTATGATATCGATAAAGTTTCAATGATGTTGGACAAATAATTTTGCGCATTTTACAATTTTTTGAATTATACGCATGTATTATAAATTATAAAATAGAGAATGTTACGTATCAAACAACACTGACGGAAGTATTATCAGTTTATCCGCTTTTATTTAGATAACAAGGAAGAAATGAATACAATATTAAATTTTATTCAAGATAAAATTCAATTCAACTTTAAATATACACGCATATATATGTAAAATTATAGTGCAAATTTTTTTCAGACATTCTTATTCACTATAGTTTATTTATTAATTCCATTATCACATATTCGCCTCTTTTGTACATTTCAATTGTCTCGTACATTTCAATATTTTTCATTTAAATTAAATTCAATAGAAAGTTTATGTTGGAAAAAATTTGATTATTTACCAACATTTGCCACTTTTGATTATTTATTTACATAAAATTTCTTCATATGTTTCCATATTTTATTTTGCTTTTTATTTTTTAATTTTGAATTAGCAATTTAATTAATTAATTAATTACTCAGCAATGCAATTAATTACTTTATTAATAAAATAACTAATTAATTAATTAATAATTAATGCATTTAATTCAGTAATTAGTAATGCAATTCATTAATCAGTCAATAATGTAATTAATTAATTAGGTAATTAGTAATGCAATTCATTAATCGGTCAATAATGTAACTAATTAATTAGGTAATTAGTAATGCAATTCACTTATTCGTCAATTATGTATTTAATTAATTAGCCAACAATACAATTAATTTATTAGCTTATAATATAATTAATTAATTAGTTAGTTAATAATTAATGCAGTTAATTCAGTAATTAGTTATGCAATTCACTAATTAGCCAAAATTACTGTTAATTAATTAGTCAATAATGCAATTAATTAATCAACTAATTAGTAATGCCATTTATTAATTAGTTAATTATACAGTTAATTAATTAGTCAGTAATGCAATTAATTAATCAATTTACAATGTAATTAATTAATTGGTCAACAAAACAACTAATTAATTGGTTAATTATACAATTAATTAATCAGTAAATAATCCAATTAATTATTTCGCTAGTCAGTCAGTAATTCATTTAATTAATAAGTCAATAAAAAAATTAATTAATTAATGCAGTCCATTAATTAATTCGTTAACAATGCAACTAATTAATTGGTTAATAATACATATAATTAAAATGTGTATAATGCGATTAATTTATTAATAAGTTAGTAGTACAGTTAATTAGTTAATAACTTAATTAGTAATGCAATTAATTACTTAATATTACAATTAATTAAATGATTAATAATACATTTGGTTAGTCGGTTAAGAATGCAATTAATTGAATGGTTTAATTCATTCATTCATTCATAATAAAAACTAATTTACTTGTTTAGAATGCAAGTAATAAATAATAATTTTTTTGTGATCAAAGTTTTTGATTATTAAAAAATTGAGGTAATTAGAAAAAAATATTCAGTAATTATTAATTAAAATTACTTTAACTTAAATATTAATAATTATAGTTTTAATAATAATAATTGAATGAAATAAAAAAGTTTAAATTTAATATAAAAATGAAATTTACAAAGAAAAAACAAACAAAATTGGGAAATGAAAAATTAAGTGAAAGATTTAATAAAATATTTATAAGAAAAAGTTTCTGTTATTTTTTTATTTCTTTATTTATTTTTTTTCTTTGAAATCGTAACATGGGACAATAAATGAGTTCATAAAAATATATAATTAGCATTTCTTAACATGGGTAACGTCCTTTACGTAACTAGTAACCTATACAAAGTCCCCCTTCTGCTCTTAATTACAACTATACGGATCCAACTTTCGATGTGAAAGAGTTTGAACGATGAATTAGAAATAAAAAAAAAATTTGCATATTTGCAAATTTGAAAGCAATTCAAGCAAGTAAAGAAAGATCCGTAAAATGTCAATTTTAAATTTGGAAGATTTATTATTTTTTGACAATTGCAAAACTTGGCGCAATCGACAAAGTTTTTAATGTTTATTCTCGTAAGAAGTTTACGTCGCGTTACGTTTATATTCAATTTCTTTTTTTATTATCAAATCAAAGATAAATTTTTTTTTAATTTTTATTTATTTATTTTTAAATTATATTTTTATTTTTCTAATTGTTTATTTATTCATTTGGTTACACGGGGAAAAACCAAAATAATGAAAACAAGAGTAAATAACAATTAATAATTATTTTTTACATTGCTCTTAAATTATTTTATTTATTTTTTTGTTTCCTTTTTTAATACATTTGTTTCCTTCTGAAAAATCTACGTTTTTATTTTATTGTCTTATTTACTTTTTATTTATTTTTTATTACTGTTTGATTATTAATATTTATTTTTTATTTTATTACTTTTTTGTTACTTTTATTCATATTTTTATTACTTTTTCTTATTATTTTTATTTATTTATTGATTTACTAAGAAAATATTAATGGATCGAATAATAAATAAATTGTAAAAATTGAATCAATCACGAGGGAAATAAGAAAAAAATGTTAAATATGTATAATTTATTATTCTAGGACATTAAATTGAAATGAATGAGATACTTATATTTCAACTTTCGAACAAGTTTAATTATACATTTCATAAGAATTAAGTAAATTTCTTTCCTCGTGACAAGTGTGATATCGTAAAGAAGGTAAATAATTTTTAAGGAAATCAATTTACGTGTAATTTCAAATAGAGTTCGTTTTTTTTTTTAAATAATTAGAAAATTTCATAAAAAATCTTTGCAAGAATTACAAAATTTCCACTTATGAAATTTTCGTTTTTCGAATCAAACTGAGTTTCTGATTTAAAATTTCAGATTTTAAATTTCAAAATTAAAATTTCAGAAATTAAAATTAAAATTTTAAATTTTAAATTTCAAAATTCAGATTTCAGTTTTTAAATTTCGAATTTCCTATTCTGCATGAAAAAAGTGCTTCAACTGAAACAACGATTTTCTCCAAAATAAAAAAAGTATTAATCGAAACAACCAAAAATTTAACAAATATAGTTTTTTCTAAAATAAAACTAATTTTTCAAAAAAAAAAAAAAAAAATTCAAATGATATTTTGACTGATTACAATTTTTTTTTCGGGGCAAAATTCCAAAAGATTTTTCTCTGCTCCCACATATTGATGGGAAAATTACATCATTCATAGAACATAAAGAAGAAAACAATAAACTCATTATGTATATCGCACTCGTTTGCATAATTATTGGTCATTGTAATTATAATAATTCGCACCATAATTATGGTTCACCCAACCATATAATATTACGTAGCAACTCATAAATAAAACTTACACCAAATGTAATCCGTTTCACTTTGTGTTAAATGTATTCATCACTGCGGTCTATAGAAATTCTATAATAATTCTCTACTGTCCAGTAATTAATTTTCCTTTCAGAATATCAAAAGACTATATTACTATATAAAATTTATTATTTATATATTTTATATATGTAACAAAAGCAATTTATTTAAGAAAGTAAATAAATTCCAATTGCAGTAAAGCGCGAAATCTCATACTCAATCCTGTATGTATTTCAAATTTTTATGGTGATTTTCAGTGTAATGATATAGTTGTAGACTGTGATGATTTTAATTATTATGATTATGTAAATAGGTAGAAACAAAAATCGATTGTTACCACCATTTACTATATATTTACTATGTTTGCTGTATTTACCATACTTGCTGTATTTATTACCATACTTTCTGTATTTTTTACCATACTCGCTGTATTTATTACCATACTTGCTGTATTTATTATTTTATAACCATACTTTCTGTATTTATTACCATACTTTCTGTATTTATTATCATACTTGCTGTATTTATTACCATAATTGCTGTATTTATTACCATACTTACTATATGGACCATATACTTTCCATATTTACTATACTTGATATATTTTATCATTTTATTTTTTTGACTATATTTTTAAATTACAAATTTCACAATTTCATTCTAATTTAAAACATCCAATTGTTAAAGCTACTATAATTTGCAACAAAATGACATCAAACTACCATAGTTTGCAGAAAGTAATATTTTAAACTACCAAAGCTCCAAGCAACTAATAATTAAAATAACCATTGTACCTAAAAACTAAAAATTAAAACAACCATTTTCAGTAACACTATAATAATTTAAAATTCATTTTTTATAACAATCAATAACTGAAATTACCATAAATCATAAAAAAATAATTGAAACTACCATCATTCGTGACAACTAATATTTAAAACCACCATTTTCTGCAACAATAAAAAAAAATTAATCTACCAAAAGCCACAAGCTTTTGCGAAAAAAGGTAAATTAATTTTTTACCATAGTTTCTAACAACTAATAATTGAAACTACCAACAATCATAAAAAAATAATAATTGAATCTACCGAAAGTTACAGTAAATAATAATTGAAACTGTCATTTTTGTTGTAACTTTAATAACTGAAAAATTGAAAATACAATTCTTCAAAACAACCAATAATTAAAAAAAATATATAGTTTCTAACAACTAATAATTACAACTACCATAAATTATAAAAAAATAATAATTGAATCTACCATAGATCATAGCAAATAATAATTGTAAATATCATCTTTCGAAAAACAGCAATAATTGAAATTACCATATTTCCGAACAACTAATAATTAAAATTAACATTTTTTGTAACGAAAAATAATTGAAATTACCATATTTTCAATTATTAGCGTTACAAAAAATTGTACATTTAAATATTAGTTATTAGGAACTATAATAAAACTATCATATTAGATAGAAACTACGATAAATCATAAAAATAAGTAAATTAATCTACCATAAATTATAGTAAATAATAATTGAAACTACCATAAGTTATGGTAAATAAAAATTGAAACTACCATTTTTTTACTCTAATAACTAAAAATGACATTCTTTAAAAGAATCAATAATTAAAAAACTCTAGTTTCTAAGAACTAATAATTAAAACTACCATAAATTGTACAAAAAAATAATAATTGAATTTAACATTGGTCATAGAAAAAAATAATTGAAAATTACATTTTCCAAAAGCAATAATTAAAATTACCATATTTGCTTATAACTAATAATTGAAACTGTCATTCTTTGTAACAAGCAGTAATTGAAATTACCATATTTTCAATTATTAGTCCATAGGAACTGCAGCAGTTTCAAAAATAATTTTTTATTCTACTTTCAATTATTAGTTTTCAGATACTATGGTAATGTCTATTAATAATTGATTTGGAAAAATGTAGTTTTATTCATTAGAGTTACAAAAATTATGGTTTCAATTATTATTTACAATAATTTATGGTAGATTCAATAATTACTATTTTTTATGATTTAAAATATTTTCAATTATTAGTTGTGAGGAAATATGGTAATTTCAATTATTGCTTTTTTTGAAAAATGGTATTTTCAATTATTATTTTTTTAAATTTATTGCAGTTTCAATTATTAGCTGTAAGAAAATATGGTAATTTTAATTATTATTTGTTTTGAAGAATGTTATTTTTAGTTATTAGAGTAAAAAAAGAAAATTATAACTTATTGTAAATTTAATTATTATTTTTTTATCATTTTATGGTAGTTTCAATTATTAGTTGTTTGAAAATATGGTAATTTTAATTATTATTTGTTTTAAAGAATGTTATTTTTAGTTATTAGAGTAAAAAAAATTGTAGTTTTAATTATTATTTACTATAACTTATTGTAGATTCAATTATTATTTTTGCATCATTTTATGGTAGTTTCAATTATTAATTGTTAGGAAATATGGTAATTTCAATTATTAGTTGTTTTGAAAAAGGGTATTTACAATTATTATTTACTGTGACCTATATGGCAGATTCAATTATTGTTTTTTATAATTTATGGTAGTTTCTATTATTAGTTGTTAGAAACGACAGTAATGTTAATTATTGGTTGTTTTGAAAAATGTTATTTTTAGTTATTACAGTGAAAAAGGGTATTTTTAATTACTATTTGCTGTGACCTATGTAACGGTAGGTTCAATTATTATTTTTTATAATTTATGGTAATTGTAATTATTAGTTTTTAGAAACTAATTTTTTTTTAAATTATTAATTTTTATTAAATTATTTAATTTTTTTTTTTTTAAATTATTGGTTGTTTTAAAGAATTATATTTTCAGTTATTAGAGTAAAAAATGGTAGTTTCAATTGTTATTTACTATAACTTGTGGTAGTTTCAATTATTAAATTTTATAATTTATGATAATTTCAACTACAAGTTGTTGAGAAATATTGTTATTTCAATTATTAGTGTTTTTCGAAAAATGATATTTACAATTATTATTTACTGTGACCCATGGTAGATTTAATATTATTATTTTAAATGATTTATGGTAGTTTCAATTATTAGTTGTTAGGTACTACAGGAATTTTAATTATTAAATATACTTGTTAAATAAATAATTAAATAAATTATTTTTCCCAACAAATTATATTTGAAATTCTCATAGTTTGGAAGAGAATATAATATTAATATATTAATATAATATTATAATTATTGGTTATAATAAAAATTATGGTATTTCGAAGACAATATTTTTAGTTTTTAAATTAATAAAATTATTTTTAAATATTTTTTAATTATTTTTTTAACAAATTAAAAAAAAATTTAAACAAATGTTAATAATTTTAGTAATTTTTAAAAGTTTCATAAAAATAATCATTTTTTAAATTAAATAATATTAAAAAAATCTAAATTTTTATTTTCAAAAAAATTTCCCAAGTAAAAAATTCTCTCATTTGCCTCGCAAATTTTTATTTCCGTTAATTATCACCACGTAATTTTCAATAAAAAAGAAAAAAAATAACAAAAACCAGACGCAATTTATTCATCTCGTTCATTAGCTTCATTGTTGATATAATATTAAAAAGAAAACTATAAAGAAAAAGTGAAGATGAAAAAAAAAGGATTCTATTCACCTCGTTAATAATCGGCGTGTGAGCGAAAATTTACACATGCTCTCCTCTCTCTGTCTGTGGGAGTGTAATATTTTCCAAGAGTTAAAAAAGAAAAGAGCTAGGAAAAAAGGTGAAGAAAAAGAAAGAAGGAAAAAAGGAAAAAAGGAAAAAATTATATATATATATATAATGGAAATGAAATCGAGCCGAGGAATCGTGACGGTTGGTCGTGTGTCCCATGGGGAGTGGTGGTTTTAACTCTTATGTGTACACTGGGACCACAAACAAACAATTTCTTGGCCAAACACACGTATACGAAACAAAGAAACGTGGGGGTAAAATTTCTTGGGCCAGGGTATACTTGGGGGTCCCCTTATACGAAGGCGAAAGTGTGCCGCGTATATAAGGCCTCAAATAGTAAGCAATCAGCATCCAGTTCACTCCTGGACGCACCTGGAATATCGCGAATTACAAAAAATGAAGAGCCTGGTACGTCAAAGAAAAAGCGAAACAGATAGAAACATAGAGAGAGAGAGAAAAAAACGAAATTCGCGTTGTGTCATTATATCGTGTTTGTGAAATAAATTAAATCCAATTGAAAGTCAAAAGTGCGCGTAAATTTTAAATCGCGAATCGTGTCTCTTCCTTTTTTATTTCATAAATTTTTTCCTAAATTAAAATCCAATTTTAGTGAAATATTTTTTTTCCAAACTGTGTTTTCAAATGAAAATTAGTCTATTTTATTTGTTAATAATAACGGGACTCTCAAGTTGTTTTCACTCTAATAGAGGACAATTTTTTTTTTCAAATAATTTATTCCGTAGACTTTTCTACTTCTACTGAAAAATTTTAATAATTTTATAAAGATTTATAAAATTTTTAATTTTTTTCTATTTTTTTATTTTTTATTTTTTTGCATTTTTTTCATTTTTTTTTTTTTTTTGTATTTTTTCAATATTTAATTTATTTTTCAATATTTTCGAAATTTTTTTTAATGTTTTCATTAAAAAATAACAGAAAAAATCGTCAATTGGAACAAATACAAATTTCACTATAGTAGCGAAAGTTTTAGTTGCTTCAATTATTGCTTTCGCTATTTTAGTGACACTTATGGCTGTTCCAGGTGAAACTTTTTTTTCTGGTAATTGTTTAAATAAAATTATTTTTAATAAGAAAATAAATGGTATAGATAAATTAATTTTAATAAGAAAATAAATGGTGTAAATAAATTACTTTTAATAAATAATTAAATTATTTAAATAAATTAATTTTAACAAAGAAATAATTTGATAAACTATTTCGAGCAAAGAATTAATTGAAATAAATTATTTCGAGTAAATAATTAATTGAAATAAATTATTTCGAGTAAAAAATAGTTTAAATTAATTATTTCAAGTACAGAAATAATTTTAATGAATTATTTAAAAGAAGAAAATAATTTAAATCCATTCTTTCGAGTAAAGGAATAATTTAAATAAATTCCTTCGAGTAAAGAAATAATTTAAATAAAATATTTCATTGATAAAAATTGAATCACTCAATTGTAAATTTCGATCTGTATTTTTCAAATTCAAAATTTTGTTCTGAATTTCATTAATTAATCATTAATTAATTTCATTAATTAATTTCATTAATTAATTTCATTAATCTTTTTGATTTTTAATTCAATTAATTAAAAATTTAATATTATTTTTTTTAATTTTTGGCAAAACCAAAATAATTCAAAACCACTATTTTAATTCAATAATTTAACAAAAATGATAATAATAATTCAATTTTAATTTTTCACTTTTTCATTTTAATTTTTTAAGTTCACTAAATTTAATTATTAACTCTCGATTTTTATTTTTGAAAACTAAAACTTTTGTGTATTTAAAAATTCCCTTTTCTATTGAGTTAAAATTTGAATCTCTATCAAAGAAGAAAATTTTGTTTTCGACAAAATTTTTATTCAATTGCTTAAAATTTTAATCACCAGAGTAAATTTATTAATTATTTAATTACCATTTTCATCGATGTAATCTATAAATCCGTATGTATTATAATCAAAATTTTCATTTCTATTATAAATTGAATTTCAAGTAATAACTAATAATATTATAATTAATAATGTTCAGGTAAAGTTTGTTCATTAAATATTCCGTTTTGTTTCCAGTCGATACGAAAATTTTAATGAACATTTTATACTTGCTGATTAAATTTTGTTTAACTGGAAAATAAAAAATTTGTTTACTAAAATTAGGACTTTTTTAATAAAAATATAAATTTTTTTTCTTAAAAATAGTATTTTTTTAATAAAATCAGTACTTTTAAATAAAATTCTTAGTGTTTCATAAAAATGGTATTTTTTAAATAAAGATAAAATGTTTTTATTAAATTTTTTATTAAAACTGGTACTTTTTAATTAAAAATAGCGTTTTTTAAATTAGAAATAATATTTTCTTACTCAAGAATAATATTTTTATTAAATTTTTCATTTTTTCTGTCATATTCTATTTGATTCAAACAAATTCTGTTTGTTTCGAATAAATTTTCTTCATTTCAAACAAATTTTATTAATTTACCAAATATTATTTAGTTCAAATAAATTTTGTTTCATTTAAGCAAGTTTTAATTGTTTCAAACAAACTTCATTTGATTCAAACAATTTCTACTTGCTACGGCCGAATTCTATTCGATTCAAAACAATTTTTTTTATTTAAATAAACTTTTTTGTCTCCAACAAATTTCGTTTAACTAAAACAAATTTTTGCTTGTTTCTGTCAAATTATATTTGATTTCAATAAATTTTATTCGATTCAAACAAATTTTCTATCATTTAAAAAAATATTATTTGTTTAAAAAAAATTTTCTTACATTTAAAAAAATTTTATTCGTTTCGAACAAATTCCATAGAATTTAAAGAATAACTTAATAAATAAAATTAAATTTAAAAAAAAATTTATTTGTTTCAAGCAATTTTTATTCTTAAGGGGATTTGAACATTGATGACGTCACAGTTTGTGTAAAGCATTAGTTTTAAATCTGTGACGTCATCATGGTTCAAATGCCCTTAAAGTAAATTATATTCTGATTCCAAAAAAAATTTATTTGTGTAAAAAAACTTTGTATCTGAAATTAATAAATTATATTTTCTCAAAAAAAAAAAAAATTTCTCTGTATTTCAATTTGTGCAATTTGTGGAATTATTGTTTATAAAATTTGCAATTTCTTTCTGAAAACGACTTTTTGATTAGAAAATTATAAAAAAATGAAATGAATACAATTGTTTCTGTTTTATTTATCAAAAGTTGTTAAAATGATTCTATTTATTCAGAGTTTTAACAAATTAAAAAAATAAAATTTAAATTTTGTTAAATTTTGTTTACATTGTTTTTTTATTCTACACTAAAAAAATTAATTTTATTTAAAAGAACCGATTACTAGTCTGTCAAATAAATATTTTCTTACAATTTGAGAAAGTATGGGACAAAGCAAAATTTTTATATGAAAAAACTAGACTTTAAATAACTTTTGGGACGTTTAGTATAATTATACAAAATATCAATAATACGAATTAAATTTTAATATAACTTTACTAAATTTCACAATAAGTTTTTTTTTAAAGTTTAGTATTTTTTATATAAAAATTTTTCGTTCCTGCATTTTTGCCCCAAATTGTAAAATACTTTTACAAAAAAATATATATTCTCTTTCCGTGTACTCTCTAAATTTGAATCAGTTAAAAATAACTGATTTAGAAGCCAAAAATCAGTCGCTGATAACAATAAACAATAAAAATAAATATGTTATTTAAAACAATGATTTTTAACAGATTCAAATTTAGAAAGTAAAAACATAAAAAACAGAAGAATAAATGATCCAAAAGTTTTGAAAGTTCAAATGAACAAAATATATTTTACTACAAACATCCCCATAAATTACTGATTGCAAAAATTTTTTTAAAAACTTTAATTTCACATTTAGAAACTTTATAATTAATAATTTTTTGATAAGTACGCAAATTATTCTAACAAAAATTTAATTTAAAGAGAAAATAAATAAATTTCCTTCATTTGAACATTCGAAATTCTAGGATCATGAATAAATGATCCACAAATTTTGAACATTCAAATGAACAAAATAAATTTTATTAAAAATATCCCCATAAATTACTGATTGCAAACATTGTTTAAAATTTTTTATTTTACATTTAGAGATTTTATAATTAATAATTTTTGATAGAAGAATAAAAAAATTATCAAAATAATTAACAAATAAAATAAAAATTTCAGATCTGCGTGGCTCTGTTCGCACTCGTCGTATCGGCGGCGTCGGCAGAAGAAAAAATCACCAAAGAAGTTGAGGACAAGAAGCACGAGAAACGTGGACTCTTCGACTTTGGCTATGGCTATGAGGGTGGCGATTTTGGCGGTCTAGAAGGCGGCGACTATGGTGGTCATCATCAGGAGGATCATCATCATCACGTGAAAACAATCGTGAAAACAGTCGCCTATCCAGTGGAGAAACACGTTCCCGTCAAAGTGCCAGTGCCCCAACCATATCCAGTTGAAGTTAAGGTTCCAGTCAAGGTTCCCGTTCACGTACCATATCCAGTCGAGAAGCACATCGAGAAACCAGTTCCATATCCAGTTCACGTACCACAACCCTACCCCGTCAAAGTCCACGTACCACAACCCTATCCAGTTGAGAAAATTGTCGAGAAAATCATCAAAGTACCAATTCACATTCCCCAACCATATCCAGTTGAAAAAATTGTCAAAGTACCAGTGAAGGTACCAGTTCATGTCTCCGTTCCCTATCCAGTTGCAAAATTAGTTCCCTATCCAGTTGAAAAAACTGTCCACGTTCCCGTTCATATCAAGGTTCCAGTTCACATTCCCCAACCATATCCAGTTGAGAAAATAGTCAAAGTACCAGTACACATTCCAAAACCATATCCAGTTCATGTTCCTGTTGAGAAGCATATTCCAGTTCCTGTGCATGTGCCAGTGCACCATCATCATTCCCATCATGAAGAGCATGGTGAGGGAGGTTACGACTTTGGTGGTTATCATTAGTATTTTTTTTCGCCTAGACGTTTCACTTAACATGTAATTTATTTTGTTTGATTGTGAATTGTTTATATTTTTGTTTTTATTTTTACTGAGAACGGAAGAATTTTTTATGTTCTCAGTAAAGGGAAATTATTTTCGACACATGATGTTGAGAGGAACATGTTATGTGAAGCTAATGACGGTACCAACACGACGAGTAACGAACATCCTCGTTCATGATCTTTATTTAATTTCTTATTAATTTTTTTTTTTTGAAACGAAGTACTTAGTTTCCTGGAACTTTAGATCTTTTTTGTTATTAGTATTATTATTTGTCAAGTTATTTAATGTAGTTCAATTTTTTGTCGAAAATAAATGTAAAGAAATGTATTGTCAAAGGTCTTGGAAACTTGGTACTTCATCATGGTCTCAACAAAGGATCCGAATAAATGGGATCTTTGCTCGAGAGTAGCAATTTTTTTTTTATCTTTAGCTCATAAAGTATTTTTGTACGGAAACGATAATAAAGGATTTTTCCAAAGTACTCGATTTTTTTCTACTTTTTACATCTTATTTAGATTTAATTTATATTTAAGTTATTGAATTTTATACGAACAAATTTTATTTCATTGGAATAAATTTTGTTTATTACGTACAAATTTTATTCAATAGAATAGAACAAATGTCATTTAATTCAAGCAAATTTTCTTTAAACCAGTAAAATTCTATTCGACTCAAGACAAATTTTATTTGAGCAAATTATATTTGAGAAAATTTTATTTCTCTTTGTCAAATTCTATTCAATTCAAAAAAATCTTATTCGTTTAAAAAAATGTTCCTTGATGCAAGCAAATTTAGTTTGTTTGATTCAAGGTCCATTTGATTCAAACACTTTTTATTCATTTAAAGTTTAAACAAAATTTTATTCGATTCAAAAAGATTTTGTTTATTTTGATTAAATTTTACTTATTCAAACGAATTTAATTTGATTCAATATTATTCGATTTGAATATTATTTGATTTTGTTTGTCTCAGTCAAATTTGAATGAATTCAAACAAATTATATTAATTTCAAACAAATTGTTTTCTATTAAAACAAATTTTATTTGTTTCAATTAAATTTTACTCAATTCCAAACAAATTTTGTTTAAATAAAATTTTACTTACAAACAAATTTTGTTTAAATAAAATTTTACTCGATTCCAAACAAATTTTGTATAAATAAAATTTTATTTGTTTTAAACATGTTTCATTTAATTCGAAACAAGATTTATTTGTACAAAACAATTTTTTGAACTTTGAAACGTATTTTATTAATTTAGACAAATATTTTTTGATTCAAGAAAATTTTGATTTCCTTCGTTAAATTCTATTTGTTTCAAACAAATATTATTTAGTTTAAACAATTTTTTTTATTTAAACAAATTTCAATGGTTTCAATCAAAATTAACTTGATTTAGGTAATACAAATTTTGTTCAAATAAAATTTTATTTATTTCAAACAAATTTTATTCTTCAATCAAATTTCATTTAATTCGAATCAAGATTTATTTGTGCAAAACAAATTTTTTATTTGAAACAAATTTTATTCTTTTGTACAAATGTTTTTTATTTAAACAAATTTTATTTGCTCCAAACAACTTTATTTAAACAAAATTTGTTTGTTTCAATCAAATTTTATTTGATTTCATACAAATTGTATTTTAATCTAAACAAATTTTATTTGATTCCAAACAAATTTTGATTAAATAAAATTATTTTGTTTTCTAACAAATTTTATTTATTCAAACAAATACTTTTTTAATGAAGTAAATTTTGATTTTTTTAGTCAAATTCTATTTTATTCAATAAAGTCTTATTTATTTTTTTTTATTTATTAATTTAAACAATTATTCATTTTAAACAAATTTTTTTTTATTTAAACAAATTTTAATTGTTTTAATCAAATTTTACTTGATTCAATACAAATTTTGTTTAAATAAAATTTTGTTCGCTTCAAACAAATTTTATTCGATTTCCTAAAAATTGTATTTTAATCCAAACAAATTTTATTTGATTCCAAACAAATTTTGTTTAAATAAAATTGTTTTGTTTTTCTAACAAATTTCATTCATTCAAACAAATACTTTTTTAATGAAGTACATTTTGATTCTTTTAGTCAAATTCTATTTGATTTAATAAAATCTTATTCATTTCAAACAAATTTTTTTCTTCTAAACGAATTTTGTTTTAAACAATTGTTTTCATTTTAAAGAAATTTTATCTGTTTCAATAAAATTTCACTTCATATCGAACAAATTTTGCTTAAAAAAATTGTATTTGGTTAAAAAAAAATTGCATTTGATTTGAAAAAAAATGTATTTCTACAGTCAAACAATTTTGTTTTTATTTAAAACAAATTTTACTCATTCAAACAAATATTTTTCAATATGAAATGTTTTAATATGAATGAAATAAATATTTACTTGAATTAAATTAATATTTTATTTAAATTTAATTTTTTTTCCATACTGTAATAAATATTGGTAACAATTTCTTTATTATTGCAATAAAATCTGAATTTGAAGATAAAATAATTAATTTTAGTTCATCAGAACGTTCAGAAATTTATTAACATGAAATAAACAACAAATTTTACAACGACAAATTCTATAGATTTAATTTTGGTAAAATTATAGTAGCAATTTTTAGAGATAATCAATTAAAAAAATCCACTCGAGGCAGGATTCGAACGCTGCACCTTGTAATTACAAAGTGACGCCTTACGCCCCGTAGCTAATACCAAACCTAATCTATTATTTCGATTTTAATAGTTTTTTTAATTAATAGTTTAATTTTAATAGTTTTTATAATTAGAAATCAAATTTTGTTATCAATAAAATATTTCCAATTCTTAGTATTATTTATCTACCCTCTTTGATAGGTTAAAAGAAAAAATAATTTACCCACCCTTTTGAAAAATATATTAAAAAAAAATTCGTCTACCCTCTTTGATAAATTTATTTTTTAAAAGAACACATCCATCCTTTCAGATAAATCAATTTAAAAAAATGTATCCACCGTCATTGAAAATGAACAAAAAAAACCATTTCTCAAAAATTAAAAAAAAAATTCCTGAACGTTCACTTAACTTGATTAACCAAAAAGAAAAATACTCTTTTCAACGGTAAACAAGTAATATAAAGAAAAGAAAGCAAAAAAAAATGAGTAATTTTCCATTGTAGTAAATTTTTAGACCATAAATTTTGATTGTTTACCTTCTTTTTCTTTCGCGCAGCCAAGGAATTCTAGGAAATTTATGATCTGATCGACAAAGTATAATATGTGCACAAGTGACTTTTAACGCATTTTCTAATGTGAAAATTGCACCTTTTGCGAGTCGGGTAAAAATGTGAAAAGTCAGCCGAGCAAATAAATAACCATAAACAAGCAATGAATGTCCTTCCTGTCTTATGTATATGTATATCTATAGACTATATGTATATATACATATATATCGCGTGTACTCAGTAATTTCTATCGGATGATGTAAAATATGCTCATTAATTAGTGTCATAAATCAAAGATATACATTCGTACAATTCAAAATATATATGTATACATATATATATATATATATATATATATATATATATATATATATATATATATATATATATATATATATATATATATATATACGTTATGAAAGGATCATAATCTCAATTAGGACTCACAGACTCCAATAAGTAGACTTTGGAAATATTCTCTCCTCTCTCCTAATACACACTCTTTCTTAATCACGTAACTATCATTATATCGAAAATAAATCATATCTTTCAACAAATAAAACATTTTTTTTTTGTTTTCGAAAATGAAAAATTTTATGTGTTTTTCGTTCAAAACTTCCTGTCTGGACAAAATAATTATAATCGCACGTTTCATTGTTTTAAATTTATAAAATTTTGCGGTTGTAAATTAATTTAATGAGTATACTTAAGGAAAAGTATTGAATTTTATGAAGGAAATTTAGATAATATTAATTTATTAAATGATTTATTTTACATAAATCATTAAATATATTAATATTATCTAAATTTATTATATAATTATAATAAAATTTATATATTAATAATAAAAAATTAATTTTAATCAATAAATAGAATTATTAGTACCTATTATTATCAGTTATTAGTAAATTAATAAACGATAATATTAACTTAATATTAATTTAATATTAATAAATTATAATTTAAGTAATTAATGTTTTATTAACTATAATTTAATTAATATTAAATATATAATTTTAAATATTTCTTAAAAATCATTATTATAACAATCATTATAATAACAAAATAAATATTACTTTAAAAAAGATTTAATTTATGAACAAAATTTAATAGTAAATTTAATAAATAAATTAATTCAAATAGTTTTTACTATCCCCAATAACACGGAATATTCCATTCACATTCATGGAATATTCCATACTCATTTTAGAAATATCAAAATGTTCAATCTTTGGAATATTTCTTTGGAGTAATGTAGAAATATTGTATAGGAATTAAATAGGAGTATTGCATAGAAATATTACAGGAATATTACAGAAATATTACTAGGAATATTATTTTTGAAATTAAAAACTTTTTTCATTTAAAATAAATAAATGAATTTATTTAAATGGTAGGAAAATTAATCAGTATATAAATAATATTAATAAAGAAAAAATACCTGCTTATTATAAATTTATATGTATATATATATATGTATATATAAAATAACTTTTAATGCTGAAAGTTTCAAATTTTGTAATTTAGATGGTAATTAAGATAATAAGATAATTAATGAACCATTCAAGTCAAAGAAGTTTCAGTAGATAATAAATTTCATCGAAGCTATTCGGCAACTTTCCAAATAATAGTTTCAAACACACAACATTATTTAATAGAAAATCTGAAAGATTTAATCGATAGCAA